GTTTTTATCGGTGAATAATAACGTTTTGTTTTTAAAAGTAAGGAAAAGTGGGGCAAGAGCTCACGATTTTAGTATAATGATGTAATCACAAAAATGTTAATTGCATTCAAAAATCTTATCAAAATAAATTGACAAATTATTCTAGATTAAACGGGATTTCATTAAAGGATTTCTTACGATTTCTTACTCAGGGGTAGCGAAATAATAGATTTCGTCTTACGTAATATTCTTATTTTTATCTTTTGATCTCGTTGAGTGGTGGAGTTTTGAATTTTGCTTCAATTTGGCCGTTTCTATTAAGAATTTCTATTATTAAATTAAAGAATTGCTCTTTGTACTAAAGCCATCTTATGTGACGTGATAAAATAATAATGCTAGCAGACTCATGCTGTACACGTTTTTTCATGGGAGAAAGGCCATGTGGTGGTTTCTCTCTCTCTCTCTCTCTCTCTTGTTTTTATTAGAATAAGTGCACTACTCCTATAGGTGTATAACACTAAGAATACATAAAACAAAATACATGATACAAAGTAAACATAAAATTAGTATTCGGCTTTTAGTGAAAACTAAAATGTGAAACTAGATATTATAAATTATAAATAGTCTTTTCTTCCATGTTTTTTTAACATAATTGTGAAAAGCATAAAACATCTTCCCAAGTGGACATGGCCACCTAAAACCAAGTTTAAAGGTTTCTAATTTCAGAATAAGTGTATGTTGATCGTAAATTGGACAATAATATGGCAAATGTTAAATCTCTAAGTGTTGATGAGATTTTGCATTCAACACTAGGAAAATAAAGTCTTGTTATTCTACCTGTTTTACTGCTCAACCATTGTTGATTCCACTTTTGCATAGCGTTGTCACGAATATAATTTTTAAGGCTGCTACGTGAGAGAGGGATGCGAGTGTAGTCCAAATCAGTGTCCTTTGCAGCTGGCTTAGTCTCAAAGTCGGCATTTTCATTCGTAAATATTCCAGTATGGCCAAAAATATATATAAAAGTTATTTTATTTAAAAGATTTTTAATATGGTGCTGGATATATGTGATTTTTTTGCTATTGAAATTGAGATTTAATAGAGCTTTTACGACGGACTGAGAATCACTGTAAATGTTGATAGGCAGAGTTTTGCTTGGTATTAAGTGGCCCACTGAACAGCTTGGTAGTCAGCATCTTTTTCAGTTTAATAGATGGAGGTATGTGAGAAATATCTGTACCTTTGGAGTTTGGAGGAAGATACAGATACTTGAGCCAACACAAAGGCAGCTTTTAGATTCATCTGTGTAAATATTAATGTCTGCATGGTTATCCATGGAGGAAGCAAATGACACCAAATGTACCCCGTGTACACTAAATGTGATCATTATCTTGTTTACAGGGTGATGATCACATTTAGTAGGGTAATTGCAATGTGGTAGCATATGAACAGCCGTAGATAGGAGTAGAGCCTTGAAGTTTGTAGTTCTGAACTTCTGATGTAGTAGTTTAGAACCTTTTCTTACAATTCATAGTGCAAAAGAAGGAGCTCTGCTAGTGTCAGAGGCATTAGTAAAAACAGTTCTGCAGCACTTCAGAATTCTGATGGCAAACTGGCTTTGAAGAGAGAGTAATTTCCTTGCTACTGAATTTTTAATAGTTACATGATCCCAGCTAGAGGCCGCGTAATGTAGCATTGGTTGTATTGCCCCATTATATAGAGTTTTACAAGGTTTATGATTTATTCCCCAGGTGCACCTAGCTCATTTTAGCAGCGTGCAGTTTACTTTATTGACCTTATCGAAGATGTAATTAATATGGCAACGAAATGTGGTTTCTATTCTCTCTTGTTTTATTTTGTATGAAGTTTCTTTTACACGTACACTAGCATGTCGATCTGTCAAAGTTTTTTTGCGTCCATTGGAGAAAATTAAAATTAATATAAAAATGAATATTATGACATTGATTAATGATGATGATAATAATAATAAAATTGTTAATAATTAAAAAATAAAGTTCTTAAAATAAATTGTTCATTCAAATTCATTAAATTTTTATCTTTTTTCAATTTGTTCACATAAAGTCTTTTATGAATAATAGTAAATTAATTATATATTTTGAACCTAAGGCCTAAATATTACGTAAGATATGGAAGGGGGAATCAAAGAAAATATTACGGTTTCTCACACAATAGTGAGTGAGGGTCTAGATTGGCCAAAATCGCCCTTATGTAATTTATGGACGGTTCCTAATATACCTCATATGCAGCCTTAGCAAATAACACATACAAAATATACTATGACACAGCCATAATCGCAGATAAAAGAATTCACTAGCATGCACACTGACTTCACTCTCATCGACAAATGCAGTAAGATCGCTTATAAGATGGACATCTACTGATAATATAAAAATGCTCATTTTGAAATAATCAACCTTCCACTCGTTCAAAAACTAAAACCGCTGTGATGAATAAGGTATTTAATGCACCTGTCGTCCTCCTTTCTACTGGTATCATATCACATACAATACAGAAAAGTCTAGAAACATTACATTTTAATAAAAACAAATTCACGGCACTGTATATTTTCGCCCGATGGAGATTATTTTTAAATAAAATTGAAGACAGTCTGGCCAAAAGGGACCACCATTTATTATTTCTGTGTTCCAGACAATGCACATTCTGGAACACAGAAATAATAAATGGTAATAAAACGCATTCTTGGATGTTTCCATTGTTGGCGCAGTATTGCTGAAAAAAAAACTTTTGATTTTTTTTATTATCTGTTTTTTAGATTTGTGGGTGAATTTGTGATAGCAAGTTTTATAAGAAGTCAAAATGAAATGACAAGCGATAAAATGTTGGATTGAAACGTATTATAGTATTATATTTCAAATACTATAATATAATATAGTAAAAAGGTTAAAAGTAGGAAGTAAACTAATAATTTTGCTGTTGTTATTTTTTGTTCGAGCAATGCCGGGTTCATCAGTTAGTAATATAATATATTATAATATTTATCAATATTCAATAGCCAGTTAATTAAAACTAAAAACAATAATTACGTTTAAAAGTAATAAAATACTATCTGTAAAAGTTCGTCCGATGGATAATTATTTTTAATCGTTTTGATCGCAGTCATCGAGTCGGTGACTAAAACCTTTGATGGCTTATTATTCTAACTGCGGGCACCACCCAACGCCCTTGTTCCTGTTCGTCGTCTACTGCGGCAGCCATAGTAGGTAGAGGCAACCAACGGTGGTGCTTAGCGGGATCTTCATTGATCCCTCAAACTTTAAGAAACAATTTCATTAAAATTCCTTGTAATATTTTTAATGATACATGAAGCAATCAGATTAAAGAACAGAAACAGAGTCAAAACTTAAGATCTATCTGTTGTCAGGGCCGGATTTCAGGCGAATGGAGTGACATGCACCGATCGGACCCCGAGCTTGAAGGGGTTTCGCAGCACATCAAAATTTATATATTATAAATAGTTTCAAATTACAGAATAAATTAAACAGTTTAGCGATCGTGTCGATTGAGAATCAAGAAGCACGCCAGTTAGATTTTGATACTATTTTAAAAGATTTTACACAATAAAAACTTCGAACAAATAAAATATCTCTTTATAGGTTTATATTCAATAAAATTCAAATGTATTCATTCAACATATTGAAAGATTTTTCATGGTAAAATTTATGTAGTTATATTCATATAAATATATAGAAATGCTAAAACATCTATCTATGTATGTTTATATTCAATAAAATTTAGTTGTATTTATACAGGTTTTTTAATGTAGAAATTTGTCTTACCTTATTGCCATGACTTTTAATTTTTATAATTAGATTTTGGATTTTGTTTTAAATGAATATTTAAAATCTATATTTTAATATGTAAATTAACTGTTAATTAATTTTTATATTTAAAGTTTGAGGGGCTCCGCAATAAAATTCAATCCAGTCTAGTACCTATTGCATACGGCCCTGTCTGTAGTGGTTTAATTTAGATTCTGATTTTACGACCTGTTTCTATTAAAAGTAGCGTGGAACAATTGCAAGATAAAGAAACTATTAAACGTAAACAGCTACAACTACATTATTTATTCTAACTTAATTACTGCCACAAGTATAAAAAAAATTATTTTCCAACTTCGGAATCGCCATTACTGAAACAAATGTCAATTAAAATTCATTTAAAATATGTATAAAAATAAAAAGACAGATGTGGCGTAAACTATAGAATGCAATTAAGAAACTATTACAAATGCTTTTATTTAAATACACATTTATTATTTAATATAATCCTATTACTAATAGGAAGAGGACAACTTGTCAAGCTATAATTATACTTCAAACACAATTATAATTATATAATTATAAATTCATTTATTATAATTATATTACAATATAATTATTTCGCATAATTCTATATATAATTATGCGAAATGATTATGCTTCAAACACAATTGAGAATATCAAAAATTAGTATCATCTTTGTATTGCTGATTCAAAACCTTGGCCATTGTTAAAAATTTTAAACATTTTTACCGTTTATAATTTTCAAAAACGACGTTTACAGTAAAATTCCATTCTTGTAATCTCTTTCGGATCTCCCAATAAAGCGAGTGACACTAATTAATCTTCGTGCAAACACGATTACTTGTCATGCAGAAACATGACAAGTAATCGTGAGAAGTGGTCGTTAGAATACTTATTCTAACAATAAACGAATTCTCCGTAAATAATAGAAATGAATGTTATCGCCCTAAATAAATGACACGTACAGTACGTAAACAAGTAATAATAACCATATTGCTTTCTAATTAATGAAATTTGTATTTATTCTAAAAACCATGTTTTTCGGTACATAAATCAATTGTTTTATGCACAAAATGAAAGTTACAAAACGAAGAAAATCAAACTTTAGAAATTTGTTGTTTCATGTTCAATAATATCTAAAATACGAGTATTACATGATTTGCAAGGAAAGTGAATAAAATCATTTCCACAAGTCATTATTCGTTACTATTATGATGTTTAATAATATGATACTTTAAAGAAGCTTTAACACGAAATTTTTGTAAGCAATGATTACACGAGAATGGTTTTTCTCCGGTGTGAAGGCGAAGATGTGCTATCAGATTATTTTTTTGCGTAAAACTTTGCTTGCAATGGTCGCAAGAGAAAGGCTTCTCTCCCGTATGAGTTCGGAGATGTCGAATCAGATTTCCTTTCTGTGTAAAACGTTGTTTGCAATGATCACAAATAAAGGATTTCTCTCCGGTGTGAAGACGAAGATGTTCTATCAGATTATTATTTTGCGTAAAACTTCGCTTGCAATGGTCGCAAGAGAAAGGCTTCTCTCCCGTGTGAGTTCGGAGATGTCGAATCAGATTTCCTTTTAGTATAAAACATTGTTTGCAATGATCACAAATAAAGGATTTCTCTCCGGTGTGAGTCTTGACGTGGTCCCGTAGACTGCCGGGATAGTTGAACTGACGATTACAGTATTGGCAAGACAAGAGTCCTTCTCCAGTGTGAATCCTCTGATGATATTTTAAATTATACTTCGAAACGAATTCTTTCTTGCAACTGTCACATTGATACTTCCCATTCTTTCTCCTCTGAATGTTTAAACCTGTAAAATACGACAAATATAAATATTAAAAGCAGTCTAGATCGAATCTTTCTTCAATTTATTGCCAATCAAATATTTAAATTTAAGCACACTATTTCAAAAGTATTGTTAAGTTTTGGATGTAGATAGAAAAAAATGTACTTTTTCTGGTAAGTTTTTTACATAAAATTTGAAGCTTAAACCTACACAAGGTTACCACCACACCAGAAACAATAACTATTTACACGAATTACCAAAAAGCATTAACAATATCAAAAGTTAATATAATTTATACACTTTCTGAAAACAATATAGAGTTTATTTTGCAAAAAATAAAAACAAACAAATATTTGGAAAATAATTTTAAAATGTCTTCGTAGATTTCTCAATTTTTCTTCACTTGCACCAAAAACGGTTTCTTTGTTGATATATTCTTGTATGATTTCTTAACACTGGCTTTAATGTTAACAACAAAAGTCGAACACATCCTTCGACTCTTCTTCTGTTTTCTCGAAAAGAATTCTTCATTTTGTACACAGAAATGCTCTTGATTATTTAATGAACCTGAAAGTCATAAAAAGTGCCAAATAAAATCGGATACGAGAATGACGTCATACATTATTTTCTAAGTCAAATTTAAATATATCAAAATTAATGTAATCATAGAAATTCTTTTTTGGCCATAATATACCACTGGGTTTTACACCCAGCCGGTAGATTATGGCAAGTAGCTTTATCTGCGATTTTTACAAAGAAAAAAGTCAGGTATAAATGTATTTTACGAAGAATAGTTATATAAAGTGTCTATCGGTTTTCCTATTTTACAGCTTTCATTTAAGAACTAAAAGTTATAAAAACCCAACCGTATTTTGAATGTTGTTTTTAATTTCGGAACAAAGTAGAAATTTACTTACTAATTTTATAAACTTCAGTCAAGAAAGACACGTAAAATACTAACCATACTTGTTACCACAAACACTAAGGAATTCGATACATCACCAAATGTTTCCCGAGAAATCTCTTCTTCTGATTTGTAAAAAAAATCTTCCTTTTCTCTTTCTAGTGAAATCGTCAACGAGGTTTGTTCCTTCCATCAAGATTGTAAATAATGTTAAATTTTAAAAAAATCTACGCCCGAACTATTAATTATCGAAATAAAATGGCGACGGTTTATATTCGAAGAAACGACTCACTTACCTGTGTGGACGAGAATTCCTTAAGCTTCCATTCGTTTCGTCGTGCGGCTGAAAGGACAATACAATCTACACCCACTGTCTTTACAGATGCAAAAAATTGTGGGCTATCAACACAGTAAAATAAAACTTCTGTCGACTTTTTCTGTAACCAAAACAGAACGGAATTACGTCACTAGTATTGAGCGAAGTGTAGTCCACTATACATATTCATTGCCGCTTCCTTTTCTGTAGTGACGAAGTACGAACCGATCCCAAGACGATGGAGAAAAACGGACACCAAATGGCACGTTTCCTTTGATTTCTTCCTAAAAGATTTAGCTCATCAGAAAACAATTTTAAATCTATCCTGTATTTAGGATAAAACGTACTTTAGCATTTCTCTAATCCAAGTTACACTTACCGGACTTCGACATTGCCTAACCGTCAATTTTCAAAATAGAGTGGTGCCATCTAATATTTAAAATTCAAAAATTTCTAATTTCTTTATTTTTTTCAAAAGTTGTGGGTCTAAAATTCAAAAATAATCTTTCATTGAAATAATGTTAAAAATCAGTTTTGTCGAAACCATTATAAATAATTACTTTGAACCCAAAAGTCACAAACAGTGGTAAAATGTAAATTAAGTTAGCAGAAAATCCACGTTTAAATCTGTTTTCCATTTCTGAAATTTATTAATTATGAATTGTTTGATTTCTCAAACGGAAAGTGCGATATCTTCGACATTCGAGAAATTGCATTCGGTTTAAGATTATTTAATACCCGGATGTGCGGTAATGTGATCGGTGTTTATAATAATTCTATCGTTTTTTAAATGAAAGAACTTACCTGCAGACGTAACACTTGAAATTTATCAAGTCGGGTACAGAAAAACCTTCCATTAAACCGTCTAAACAAAAGTGTTATCCCGATTGGACTCGTTTTAATACGCAAAATTTACACATTGGGGAGCACGGAAGAATTTGCATTCTCGTGATTTGGATCTCCTCAGTAATGAATTGGAAGAAGAATTACAGAAACTTATAAAACTGCTAGATTGGTAGCCACACAAAATTACCACAACATCCCGTACGACGACGCTCCGTGTACCATTACCGAAAAAATGGAGAGTGTTTGGACAACACCCGCCATCCCGAGATCCCATTCGAGAATGCCACTTAATTGAAGCCGAGGCAAAATGCTGGGAATTTAAAACCAAATAAGAGTAGAATAATATAAATATTTACCAGTGTATCCTTAAATAAATGTGAACGTGGCAAAGTGCGGGTGCGAAACATCCGGAGGAGGTCTGACAGGTATTGCTAATTTTTATCCAGATCGACCCGCCCGATTTAGAAATGCAGACGGATGGATGGAATAATTTGTAATTAAGAAATTATATAAATGCAGAACATATTCAAATGCAGATTGTTCTTCTCGGTCAATTTATATTTCATCTTCGCCCATACCTTTGATTGTTTACGGCTTTTGAGTTCAAAATCATTTATTTATAACACTTTCAAAAGTATTTACTATATTTAATTAATTAATTANTAAATGATCATAGAAAACACATACCTTCAGCTTTCTTTTCAGTCCAATATCACATACTGCAAATTGTCTGACGTCTTGAAACGTATTTTCCATCTGCAGCATAAAAAACAGTATAGAAATAAAATAAAAAACATGTCAATGGTGTATGTAGAATGTAATTACCGTAAATGCGAGCGAGCACAGCAGACATCCAGCTATTATGCAAATACACGTGAATATTACCATAAGTAAAAATATTAAATATTTAATGTAATGATTAAATTCTAAAAATATAAATGCGTAGCAGTAATAACTTGTACACCAAAGGACAACAAAATAGATAATTACAACTACTAAATTGTACTTGGTATTCAATTGTTGTACGAAACGCCAAAGCTCTTCGTGATGCAACATTAATTCGTTTAGCTTTCTCCGTAAATCTGAACCGATTGTTTTGATTAAAAACAATTCCCGAGATAATTGTTCGAACTCTTGATGTTCGATGATGCATATTAAAGCCAATATTAAAAAAGTAAAACCGAGTCCTCCTATAACATAACTTATAGCTATGCAACTTTGGATACTACAGAATAGAGCTTCACCACGAAATTTTTCTTTCTTTTTTATATGAGGATAAAGAACGAAAAGCACAAGAATTACAAATAAAATAATAATCACTATTATAATTATAGACACAAGAAAAACAATTTTTTTCAATAAGTTGTAATTATTCTTTATTTTGCTACGAAAATTTTCGTTCTTTAATGACTGTATCAATACCAATTTGGTTCTTCTCATGCGTCTGAAAACAATACAATAACTGATAAACAGAAAAGAATATAACAATTTGAATAATGTGGAATGAGTTTTTAGTATATCAAATTCTCCGTTGCAAATTGAATATTCGTTTAAATCCGGTATTGTTTCCCAAATTAGATGAATTGCACGTTCCCATAAAGAAAATTCGATTATTCGAACGTATGTATTCGTGAATTTTGAATTTTTACATACTCTAATTTTGTTTCCGCAATTGCAAGATTCAAATGGATCTAGCCCAAATATAAGGGCGGTCGTCCAACAAGGAGTAAGGAAACAGTTCATACATGTTCCTTCTTGTAAATTTGGGTTCATGTTTATTTGCATCCACGCTTCACGAAGCAAAATGATTAAAAATGCTTGTTACATAAAGCCATTATCTTTAGAAATACCACGATTCCATTATTGAAAATTCGTGATATTAAATTTTTATTTTATGCGGTAATTTCGCTTAATGGAATTAAAAATTTATTAGCTAAGTGCAGGCCTTATTGATTGGTCAATAAATTAAACGCTGGAGCTAAAAGGCAGCGCTGTAATGACATACGAATAGATGATTTTAATTCAAGAAATGGTAGTTTATCTGTCAGATACAATAATAAATAAAATTTATATGACAATAACATGAGCGCTTCCACTCCTAATGTTGTCAGTGCAAAAAAATAAGACAGAGCGATTTAATTTCAGAAAATCTTTTTATCAAAATTCAATTTTGAAATGTCTGTGATGATTTATTAGAAAGGAAAAAAGGAAACAACATGGAAAACCCATGCAACACTTCGGAGAATTGCTTTATTTTCATTTTTGTGGGTGATGTTTAGGGTCTGACACAAATGTGGCTGTGATTGAACATCATCCAATATTTAAATTTTATTCATAGGCTGCAAGGTTTTCCAGTGAATTAGTTGACAACAACAACGGTTTTTATCGGTGAATAATAACGTTTTGTTTTTAAAAGTAAGGAAAAGTGGGGCAAGAGCTCACGATTTTAGTATAATGATGTAATCACAAAAATGTTAATTGCATTCAAAAATCTTATCAAAATAAATTGACAAATTATTCTAGATTAAACGGGATTTCATTAAAGGATTTCTTACGATTTCTTACTCAGGGGTAGCGAAATAATAGATTTCGTCTTACGTAATATTCTTATTTTTATCTTTTGATCTCGTTGAGTGGTGGAGTTTTGAATTTTGCTTCAATTTGGCCGTTTCTATTAAGAATTTCTATTATTAAATTAAAGAATTGCTCTTTGTACTAAAGCCATCTTATGTGACGTGATAAAATAATAATGCTAGCAGACTCATGCTGTACACGTTTTTTCATGGGAGAAAGGCCATGTGGTGGTTTCTCTCTCTCTCTCTCTCTCTCTTGTTTTTATTAGAATAAGTGCACTACTCCTATAGGTGTATAACACTAAGAATACATAAAACAAAATACATGATACAAAGTAAACATAAAATTAGTATTCGGCTTTTAGTGAAAACTAAAATGTGAAACTAGATATTATAAATTATAAATAGTCTTTTCTTCCATGTTTTTTTAACATAATTGTGAAAAGCATAAAACATCTTCCCAAGTGGACATGGCCACCTAAAACCAAGTTTAAAGGTTTCTAATTTCAGAATAAGTGTATGTTGATCGTAAATTGGACAATAATATGGCAAATGTTAAATCTCTAAGTGTTGATGAGATTTTGCATTCAACACTAGGAAAATAAAGTCTTGTTATTCTACCTGTTTTACTGCTCAACCATTGTTGATTCCACTTTTGCATAGCGTTGTCACGAATATAATTTTTAAGGCTGCTACGTGAGAGAGGGATGCGAGTGTAGTCCAAATCAGTGTCCTTTGCAGCTGGCTTAGTCTCAAAGTCGGCATTTTCATTCGTAAATATTCCAGTATGGCCAAAAATATATATAAAAGTTATTTTATTTAAAAGATTTTTAATATGGTGCTGGATATATGTGATTTTTTTGCTATTGAAATTGAGATTTAATAGAGCTTTTACGACGGACTGAGAATCACTGTAAATGTTGATAGGCAGAGTTTTGCTTGGTATTAAGTGGCCCACTGAACAGCTTGGTAGTCAGCATCTTTTTCAGTTTAATAGATGGAGGTATGTGAGAAATATCTGTACCTTTGGAGTTTGGAGGAAGATACAGATACTTGAGCCAACACAAAGGCAGCTTTTAGATTCATCTGTGTAAATATTAATGTCTGCATGGTTATCCATGGAGGAAGCAAATGACACCAAATGTACCCCGTGTACACTAAATGTGATCATTATCTTGTTTACAGGGTGATGATCACATTTAGTAGGGTAATTGCAATGTGGTAGCATATGAACAGCCGTAGATAGGAGTAGAGCCTTGAAGTTTGTAGTTCTGAACTTCTGATGTAGTAGTTTAGAACCTTTTCTTACAATTCATAGTGCAAAAGAAGGAGCTCTGCTAGTGTCAGAGGCATTAGTAAAAACAGTTCTGCAGCACTTCAGAATTCTGATGGCAAACTGGCTTTGAAGAGAGAGTAATTTCCTTGCTACTGAATTTTTAATAGTTACATGATCCCAGCTAGAGGCCGCGTAATGTAGCATTGGTTGTATTGCCCCATTATATAGAGTTTTACAAGGTTTATGATTTATTCCCCAGGTGCACCTAGCTCATTTTAGCAGCGTGCAGTTTACTTTATTGACCTTATCGAAGATGTAATTAATATGGCAACGAAATGTGGTTTCTATTCTCTCTTGTTTTATTTTGTATGAAGTTTCTTTTACACGTACACTAGCATGTCGATCTGTCAAAGTTTTTTTGCGTCCATTGGAGAAAATTAAAATTAATATAAAAATGAATATTATGACATTGATTAATGATGATGATAATAATAATAAAATTGTTAATAATTAAAAAATAAAGTTCTTAAAATAAATTGTTCATTCAAATTCATTAAATTTTTATCTTTTTTCAATTTGTTCACATAAAGTCTTTTATGAATAATAGTAAATTAATTATATATTTTGAACCTAAGGCCTAAATATTACGTAAGATATGGAAGGGGGAATCAAAGAAAATATTACGGTTTCTCACACAATAGTGAGTGAGGGTCTAGATTGGCCAAAATCGCCCTTATGTAATTTATGGACGGTTCCTAATATACCTCATATGCAGCCTTAGCAAATAACACATACAAAATATACTATGACACAGCCATAATCGCAGATAAAAGAATTCACTAGCATGCACACTGACTTCACTCTCATCGACAAATGCAGTAAGATCGCTTATAAGATGGACATCTACTGATAATATAAAAATGCTCATTTTGAAATAATCAACCTTCCACTCGTTCAAAAACTAAAACCGCTGTGATGAATAAGGTATTTAATGCACCTGTCGTCCTCCTTTCTACTGGTATCATATCACATACAATACAGAAAAGTCTAGAAACATTACATTTTAATAAAAACAAATTCACGGCACTGTATATTTTCGCCCGATGGAGATTATTTTTAAATAAAATTGAAGACAGTCTGGCCAAAAGGGACCACCATTTATTATTTCTGTGTTCCAGACAATGCACATTCTGGAACACAGAAATAATAAATGGTAATAAAACGCATTCTTGGATGTTTCCATTGTTGGCGCAGTATTGCTGAAAAAAAAACTTTTGATTTTTTTTATTATCTGTTTTTTAGATTTGTGGGTGAATTTGTGATAGCAAGTTTTATAAGAAGTCAAAATGAAATGACAAGCGATAAAATGTTGGATTGAAACGTATTATAGTATTATATTTCAAATACTATAATATAATATAGTAAAAAGGTTAAAAGTAGGAAGTAAACTAATAATTTTGCTGTTGTTATTTTTTGTTCGAGCAATGCCGGGTTCATCAGTTAGTAATATAATATATTATAATATTTATCAATATTCAATAGCCAGTTAATTAAAACTAAAAACAATAATTACGTTTAAAAGTAATAAAATACTATCTGTAAAAGTTCGTCCGATGGATAATTATTTTTAATCGTTTTGATCGCAGTCATCGAGTCGGTGACTAAAACCTTTGATGGCTTATTATTCTAACTGCGGGCACCACCCAACGCCCTTGTTCCTGTTCGTCGTCTACTGCGGCAGCCATAGTAGGTAGAGGCAACCAACGGTGGTGCTTAGCGGGATCTTCATTGATCCCTCAAACTTTAAGAAACAATTTCATTAAAATTCCTTGTAATATTTTTAATGATACATGAAGCAATCAGATTAAAGAACAGAAACAGAGTCAAAACTTAAGATCTATCTGTTGTCAGGGCCGGATTTCAGGCGAATGGAGTGACATGCACCGATCGGACCCCGAGCTTGAAGGGGTTTCGCAGCACATCAAAATTTATATATTATAAATAGTTTCAAATTACAGAATAAATTAAACAGTTTAGCGATCGTGTCGATTGAGAATCAAGAAGCACGCCAGTTAGATTTTGATACTATTTTAAAAGATTTTACACAATAAAAACTTCGAACAAATAAAATATCTCTTTATAGGTTTATATTCAATAAAATTCAAATGTATTCATTCAACATATTGAAAGATTTTTCATGGTAAAATTTATGTAGTTATATTCATATAAATATATAGAAATGCTAAAACATCTATCTATGTATGTTTATATTCAATAAAATTTAGTTGTATTTATACAGGTTTTTTAATGTAGAAATTTGTCTTACCTTATTGCCATGACTTTTAATTTTTATAATTAGATTTTGGATTTTGTTTTAAATGAATATTTAAAATCTATATTTTAATATGTAAATTAACTGTTAATTAATTTTTATATTTAAAGTTTGAGGGGCTCCGCAATAAAATTCAATCCAGTCTAGTACCTATTGCATACGGCCCTGTCTGTAGTGGTTTAATTTAGATTCTGATTTTACGACCTGTTTCTATTAAAAGTAGCGTGGAACAATTGCAAGATAAAGAAACTATTAAACGTAAACAGCTACAACTACATTATTTATTCTAACTTAATTACTGCCACAAGTATAAAAAAAATTATTTTCCAACTTCGGAATCGCCATTACTGAAACAAATGTCAATTAAAATTCATTTAAAATATGTATAAAAATAAAAAGACAGATGTGGCGTAAACTATAGAATGCAATTAAGAAACTATTACAAATGCTTTTATTTAAATACACATTTATTATTTAATATAATCCTATTACTAATAGGAAGAGGACAACTTGTCAAGCTATAATTATACTTCAAACACAATTATAATTATATAATTATAATTTCATTTATTATAATTATATTACAATATAATTATTTCGCATAATTCTAAATATAATTATGCGAAATGATTATGCTTCAAACACAATTGAGAATATCAAAAATTAGTATCATCTTTGTATTGCTGATTCAAAACCTTGGCCATTGTTAAAAATTTTAAACATTTTTACCGTTTATAATTTTCAAAAACGACGTTTACAGTAAAATTCCATTCTTGTAATCTCTTTCGGATCTCCCAATAAAGCGAGTGACACTAATTAATCTTCGTGCAAACACGATTACTTGTCATGCAGAAACATGACAAGTAATCGTGAGAAGTGGTCGTTAGAATACTTATTCTAACAATAAACGAATTCTCCGTAAATAATAGAAATGAATGTTATCGCCCTAAATAAATGACACGTACAGTACGTAAACAAGTAATAATAACCATATTGCTTTCTAATTAATGAAATTTGTATTTATTCTAAAAACCATATGTTTTTCGGTACATAAATCAATTGTTTTATGCACAAAATGAAAGTTACAAAACGAAAAAAATCAAACTTTAGAAATTTGTTGTTTCATGTTCAATAATATCTAAAATACGAGTATTACATGATTTGCAAGGAAAGTGAATAAAATCATTTCCACAAGTCATTATTCGTTACTATTATGATGTTTAATAATATGATACTTTAAAGAAGCTTTAACACGAAATTTTTGTAAGCAATGATTACACGAGAATGGTTTTTCTCCGGTGTGAAGGCGAAGATGTGCTATCAGATTATTTTTTTGCGTAAAACTTTGCTTGCAATGGTCGCAAGAGAAAGGCTTCTCTCCCGTATGAGTTCGGAGATGTCGAATCAGATTTCCTTTCTGTGTAAAACGTTGTTTGCAATGATCACAAATAAAGGATTTCTCTCCGGTGTGAAGACGAAGATGTTCTATCAGATTATTATTTTGCGTAAAACTTCGCTTGCAATGGTCGCAAGAGAAAGGCTTCTCTCCCGTGTGAGTTCGGAGATGTCGAATCAGATTTCCTTTTAGTATAAAACATTGTTTGCAATGATCACAAATAAAGGATTTCTCTCCGGTGTGAGTCTTGACGTGGTCCCGTAGACTGCCGGGATAGTTGAACTGACGATTACAGTATTGGCAAGACAAGAGTCCTTCTCCAGTGTGAATCCTCTGATGATATTTTAAATTATACTTCGAAACGAATTCTTTCTTGCAACTGTCACATTGATACTTCCCATTCTTTCCCTTCTGAATGTTTAAACCTGTAAAATACGACAAATATAAATATTAAAAGCAGTCTAGATCAAAGCTCTCTTCAATTTATTGCCAATCAAATATTTAAATTTAAGCACACTATATTAAAAGTATAGTTAAGTTTTGGATGTAGATACCAGAAAAAGTTTTTTACATAAAATTTAAAGGTTAAACCTACACGAAGGTTACCACCACACCAGAAACAATAACTATTTACAGGAATTACCAAAAAGCATTAACAATATCACAAATTAATA